CTTTCACATGGCACACAATAAACTAGGAAAGCTTTTATGATGAATTGTTGCTAAGCGTTGTCATGTAGATTCCATCTCATAGTGACTCTATGTAGTGTTTCTGAGGAGGAGCTGGTGGGTTTGGACCACAGACCTTATGGTTCACAGCTCAGTGCTTATCCTACAGTGAGAACAATGTAGATGTCCCTTTGAATATTACGTACTTCCAATAATATAATTATGATGAATGTTGGTTTTGTTAAGTGCCGTCGAGTCTGTTCCAACTCATAGCAATCTTATATACTGTTTCCTAGAAGTGGCTGCTGGGTTTGAACCGCTGACCTTGTGCTACCATCCATTCAGGCAGTCCAGCGCTTTCCCCCACAGCACCACAGCAGGATGCCACTGTGAGGAATAAAGACAAGTTAGAAGGCAAAAGGACTGCTGGTGTGAGAGGCAGTTTGGCTTTAAGTCTATTGAGTTTCACTGATGAGGTGATTTTCAAGGAGACCTTTATAAACAGTATTTGAAGCCATTGTGGTTGGCGGTTACGTGGTTAGAAAATAAAATGTAATGTTGAAAAAGATTCGAGATGCAGCTAGAGGATGGAGCATCTTCTGCCTGCAGGTGACAGCTAACATGGGGGAGGATGAGTCATTGTCAGAAAGCCGTGCAGCATCCTTAGGACTGGGTCCAGTGGTCTTTTATCCAGCTGTTGTTGGCGGCTGGTTCCCTGTGGTGTGTTTCCTATTTGCTCTGTGGAGAAAAATAGTAAGCATGAGGCAGCACCACTGGAGACTAAAAATTAAGATGCCTTTTCTTTAAAGTGTGAGTTTATCATATTTCCCCCCCATTTTGAAAACTTGTGCTTTTTTAAAGCCCATCCCAGAATGGGGTGATCAGTTTTATTTGCCTTGGTCTGCCACCTTAAAATTTACGCTCATCTCAATATTCACAACAGTACATTGCTCCACAAATCTTTACTGAGTAGTTGTTAGGAATACGAAGAAGAACAAGAAGAACATACAGAGCATGTGCAGGAATCCCTGGGTAGTGCAAAAGGTGTTAACATGCTTAGCTACTAACTTGAAGGTTGGAAGATCAAGTCTTCTCAGAAAGAAGACTGTAGAGATCTACTTTTCAAAACTCAGTTGTTGCATGTCCTATGAGCACAGTTCTTCTCGGGCAACTTAATGGCAACTGGCAGATAAGAAGAATAAGCGCAGTGTTGTGCTAAGTGGGTGTCATTGAAGAGTTTAAACAGGAGTATTTTTAAGTGTATAGCTGATAGATACCATGGGACATAGTGGAGTATGTTGGCTCATATGTACTGTTCTGTTGGATTTAAATGCCTTTTGCTAGGCATTATTTAAATAGACTCTAAGTTTCTCAAATTACAAGCATATTAGTGAAAGTATACTACTCTGCTTAAGAAACTGCTCAATACCATGAAACCTTAGTTGTAGGAATCATCTCACTGGAACATAGTAGTGCAAACTTTTGTTAAATAAATAGTCTCTGATAATAAAACTAAAAGTCCTTGTTAGCTAAAGGGACTCTGGGAGTTTGTATCCCTCATCTTGTCTCTTATATAGCAAGCTAGAGGATGTTTAGTAACATTATTTAAAGAAAATGAGCAAACACTTGTCATGTGTCTAAGGAATGAGTCATTTGTTATTTAGCCCAGTGTTTAATGCAGTCCTTGATATATTTAGATCCTTTATGACTTGAAAAAAGTAATTCAGGTTACAGTGTAAATGTCACTTTGAATATTACTTATTTCTAGGAATCTAATCAAGTAAGAAAATTTTATATCAACTACCAATCAGACCATTACCTGTGTCTAATTGCTAGCATCATTCATTATGCTGTGAAACTATTTTTCTCAGAGCACCTCAGCTTTTGTGGAGAAGCTTAATTCTCTTGCTCTCTGTGCTGTGGGTCAGTCTCTTTCTCTCTCCATTCATACACACACACAGTACTTGTAAAATCAACCAGTTGATGAGTTTGATTACTAGAACTTAGTGTGGACTACTAGAACTTGTTCCAAATTTCTTTACATTTAGAGTGACCCCATTTGTTCTTCTGTTGGAGACAGTGAGTCAGATACTGTAGTGCTAAGTTGGTAGATACAAAAATAAATAAATAAAAGGGGAAAGTGGAAAATGTTCTCAGTTGATCAATATAAGATTGGAAATGTGATAGTGGTCCTTGTACATCTGATGGGAGTCATATTTTACTGCCTAAGTGTGGTCAAAATGTGATTCTCTGTTACTGTAAGGGTAAATGGACACATTACTCAGATATGATAAGTGACAATGTCTCATTCGCAGATAATGGGAGGGCTTAGTGGCATTGCAGGATACACTTGACTTCTGACAATGTGGTTGGTAGTCCAAACTCTCTATGGGAGAAAGATGAGGCTTTCTGCTCTTGTAAAAATTTACAGCCTCAGAAACCGTATACAGTACCCCTGTGAGTTGAAATAGACCCAGTGGTAGTTGGTTAGTTTTTTATTAAATCTATAATGACCCTTTTTGACAATAATGGGCCTTGGGTTATAGCGAGTTCTCAGACATTGGATACTGTTAAGTATGACAACAGTTGATTTAAAGCTGTGTAGCAAATATTTCTTTACTGTGTAGGGGTTTGACTAGGTTAGTTTCCTAGCCCAAATTTTACTGTCAACCATGTATTTCAAGAATAAGGAATAAAACTAGGGGTTAAAGTATAAGCCCAAATCTACTTGTTACCAAGCAAAGTTGGAGGGAACCAGTGTGACAGTAAAAATTCACTTCACAGGTGCTCAGCTTAGTGATAGGAAGAATCTGTTATTAATAACCTTTAAGACGCTATAGGATCGGTGCTGGACTGTGAACCACAAGGCCCACAGTTCAGACATACCAGCTGCTCCTTGGAAACCTTATGTAAGTCAGAACTGACTCACCGGTACTTAACAACAAAATAAAAGCTCCTTTATCCATGGTTTTCTGTAACTTAAACCTGAACATGCAGGACAAATCACTGGTATTTGGAAATACAGTAGAAGATTCTAATCAGAATTCTAATTCTTCTACTTCACTTTCTGATAAGGTAATATTTTTCTTAAAAATGCAGTCAGAGAACTCAATTGCTATATCAGATCACAGTTGTTAGAGAATTTATATTAGGAAGCATGGATGGCAATCAGAACCTGGACATGTACAGACTGCTGTTGTGATACACGCATCACCCAGGGCACTGGTGAAGTAAGAGGGCTGATAGTAGGTAAGGCTTCAAATCCAACTCTGGCTATCTGAAAGTAATGGAGCTCCAGGCAGAAAAGGCAGCACCACGGACAGCTCTCAAAAGTCCTACTGCAAATGCAAAGTTTACAGCTGCACATATAAAAACTACATCCAGTGCACTACCATGGACAGATAATTTACCATAGTGCTGTATTTTCGCATCTGCATCATAGCCAAAATATCGACTCCTGTTCTGTGTAGTTAAAGAATCTACAAATTAAAGATATTAGCATTATTGTTATGAACTTTTACTTTCTATTGTTGACCTTTAAATTATGTTAATAGACATCAATAGACTCTTTTCAAGGTGTGAAGCAGCAGTTAAGTGAACAGATGGGAGAAACCAGGGTACTATAAGCACATACATACTTTAGTGATGAGGAAGAGAGCTGGGGTATTTGGCAGACCTTATAGATTCAGGCACAGGTTCTCATATACATGTGTCATCTAATTTCCATAAGCACTAGGTGTTATATTGCCCAGTAAGAAATAAAATATCATTCCATGCCATGCTCTTTTAGCATACTGTATATCTGCTGTTCCTACTGACCTAACACAGACTCTTAGCTTTTCTAAGAGTGGTCTCTTCAGAAGATTTTCTCAATACTAGAGAACAGGAGTGAAGGACAGAGAGGAGTGAGAGTAAAACATACCATAGCCACTCTCAGCAAGGGATTCCAGAGTTTCTTTGGCTAGAAGTATAGGCCACATGTACAGCTGCTCTTTCATGGGGTTCACCTTACTCACTGGTATGTCCCAGGTTGTTACTGAGATTTCTGCAGCTCTGGTCATGATGGGGAGTACTCTGCAAGGATCTTCAATCCAGCAGCTAGGGAATGGAATTAAAAATCAGACAGTGATATCTGTGTGTGATAAATTTATATAACTACATTGACATCGTGAGAAAAGCATCTATCTGTTTCATCTACAATTAAGTAGATGAATGCAGTCTTGTATCTATTAGCAGTACATATTCTTCTTCTTGATGAAACTGCAGTGATCCCTTCATAAATTTTTATTAAACTTAATTAGAATCTTTGTATCAAGGCAGAATACTTTATCTAATTTTTTTTATTTGCATGAATTTTACACATGGAAAATGCCCATTTTATATTTTAGTTATAGCTATAAAATGTATAATAATTGGACATTTTTCGGGAGCAACTAAATGCCTTCAGCACTTTTTGTATAGTTTGCCTTATGTGTATAAGGATATAAACAGCTACAAGAAGCTTTTTATTACTCAAGTCCTTTTATATGGAGATCAGCTGACCTGACTTTTTTTTTTTAACAGTTTGATAGATGGATGCTATTATCTGTTCAATAGTCCATTGAGGAATAGGTTAAAGAAGTAGCAATTTTCTACCTAGGTAGCATTTTAGATCCACTTATCAAAGTGAAATTACTATTATATGATGCTGTTGTCCCTCAGAACTTTTGAAAGGAAAATGTTAGTTATTAGGTAATTCTATAGTGAGGTGTGTAATAGAAAGAGCACTGGGCTGGAAATTAGAAAATATAAGTTTGAGACCTTTACCAGCGAACTCTCACCTTTGATAAGTTAGTTAGACTCTTAGCCAGTTTCTGCCCAGGAAAGTAAGACTGTGACCCTGTGTCATAGAGTGGTTATGAGATTGCTTTAGAGGATTTGTGAAAGTGCTTGGAATTTTTAACACATTTAGAAAACAAAGAGAAACTCTATTGGTAATAATTCTCCTGATTTTTTTTTTACAGAAAGTGAGTGAGAAGGTTGGGGGAGCAGAAGGAACCAAGCTAGATGATGACTTCAAAGAAATGGAAAGGGTAAGTCTTTTCCACTAAGAATTCCCTTTCCCAGGAAATCGTCTACTATATTAACATGTTGTTAGGAGCCATTGAATCGTTTCTGACTCATAACAACCCTATGCACAACAGAACAAAACACTGTTCAGTCCTATGTCACTGGGTCAGTCTATCTCACTGGGTACTTTCTTCTTTTTTGTTGACCCTCCACTTTACCAGACATGAGTTCCCTCTCCATGAACCGATCGATCTCTCCTGACACCATGTCAAATAATCAGAGATGAATTCTTGCCATCCTCTCTTTTAATGAACATTATGGCTACACTTCATCGAAGACAGTTTTGTACATTCTTCTGGCAGTCCATGGAACTTCCAGTATACTTTGCCAGCACCATAATTCATATGCATCAGTTCTCCAATATTTTTTATTCATCATCCAGTATACACATACATATGAGACCATTAAAAATACCATGGCTTGGGTCAGATGCACCTGAGTCCTCAGACTGATATCTTTGCTCTTGAACAATTTAAATATGTATTTGGAAAGAAACAACTGTTCTCTATTGGTTTATGAAAATATATTTTGTTATTCTTAGAAAGACTCTTTAGTACATTGTTCACACAGAAAAGGTAAATAATTCTGACTTGCTTTGAGCTGCCTTAGGAACAAAGCCTCAATGAGGTTATATGTCACAACACCTCAGTGAGGTAAAATGTTTCCTTGGTGGCCTTATCTTTACTGTTCCAAATGGGAACAGTGTGGAGCTGGGGTTTGAGTTAGAGGAGATTAGGAGGAAAGATAAGTTAGGGAATGATGTCCCAAGCGCTTTCAGGAGAGTTTGTGTGACTACCTGGATTTGAGGACTTGGCTGACAGGACATTGACTCCACTGGGGGACAGTGGAGAGGACACAATTGGAAGGCTACCGGCCTTGGCCCAAACTCTACTTCCATACTCATTACACAGCGTACTTCTCTTGGCTGCCACCTTTTATAAATGTGAGATGAGAATAATCATACCTACTTAATGGATTTTTTATTTTTTTAATTTTGAAATAATGTAAATCATTTCATGTTCTACCTGAAAGCTAGCAGGTTCTCATGTCATTTTCCTGTGACATGTATCTTCATTATGGAGTACTGCTGTATATATATGTTATGCAGAAATACCAAACACACATGTAGTTTCACATAGTTTAGAATGTTAGAAGTCTGAATTCAGGGTGCTGCATCCAGTGGAAGGATTCTCTGTTGACTCTGGAGGAAAGGTTGTCCCTGGTAACCTTTATGTGACTTGGCAACTCTTTTCCCTCATCTCTGCTTGCTCACTTGTTAGTTCAATCTCTTATATTTCAAAAGATATTGAATCAAAACACGGCCTGTATTAATAATGTTCCATTAACATAAAAAGCAGCCATTTCCCAAATGGGATTATAACACTATGAATAGAGGTTAGGATTTGTAGCACATAATTGTAATGCAATGATTCAATCCATAACCCTAGTCTCTCACACTGCGACTGGGCAGAGCAAGTGACATTTAGATTTACAATGAAGAGTGTTATGTTGGGCTCTGCAAAGACATATTTTGAGTGCTAAATTGCTGATGGGTAAAGGATCTTGGGGTACAAACTGTGCACTGCAGCACATCTGAGAATTATGAACACTTATCTTTGTACATTATTTTGTATAAGCAGTTTCCCCGTAATATTCTGATTTGGGCATTATCAGAAGGTTTCTGTTGTTGTTAGGTGCAGTTGAGTCCATTTCTGAGGCATAGTGTCAACCTTCTGATTAGTCTCCGTGTGTGGACCTGTTCCACCCCATTGTTCTTAGTCCGTATTAGTTTCAATGGGCTACCTCAGGTTTGCTATTTTTGCTACATTTGTGTGAAGAGCCAAACAAAATGCCTAGATATTTTTTGCCTTGAATTTTTCACTTTTTTTCATGATGAATTCATTGTGGTAAAGTCAATATATATTTGAGCCAGGCAGGTAGGACACACAGTGCTGAGCAGGATGGACAAGATTCCTGACTCCAAGAAGTCCGTAGGCTAGTGGGGAAGACAACTTGGAGATAATAATTACCAGTTTGGTAAGATTAACAAAAAATGGTTAATGAACCCATGAGTTGCACATGGAGAAAGAAGCCTGGAAACAAGGGAATGTACCCAAATAAATTGATAAACAATAAGAGTTAAGGCCTAAAAACCAAGCCCACTGCATTGAGTTGATTTCAACGTACAAGGACCCTATAGGACATAGTGGAGTCCTGGTGAGGCACTGTGGACTGCAAAGCTGGTTTGAACTTCATGGTTGGTGGTTCAAGCTCACCAGCCACTCTTTGAAAACCCTATACAGGGTTGCTATGGTCAGAACCAACTCCCTGGCACTGACAACAACAACAATAGGACATAGTAGAACTTCTCCATGGGGTTTCCAAGGCTGTAAACTTTTTCAGAAACAATCACATGTTTTTCCATGGGCAACTAATGGGTTCAAACTGTGGCCTTGTGGGTTATCAGCTGAGCATTTTAATCACTGCAGCACCAAGGCTTCTGAGGAGAAAAGCATGTTGTTGTTGCTGTTGTTGTTAAGTGCTGTTGAGGTGGTTTTGACTCACAGTGATTCTGAAGAGGGTTTCCAAGGAGTGGCTGGTGGGTTTGAACCACTGACCTTGGGGTTAGCAGTTCAGTACTTATCCTATGGCACCACACCTGACCATTAAACGGAACTAGAGGAAATTAGCAGAGCCATGTGTGCATTTTGTGAGAGAAGGAACACGCAAGTAGGCAAGAGAGAACAGGGCACAGTAGAATCCCTCACAAAAAGATGAGTTGCCAATAGGCAGGGCCTTATACTGAGACTCTGTGGCATTTGCCCCACTGCTTTTCTGAGATTGAGGTTTAATGCTAGAGTTCTGAGAAACCGACTTGGACCCCAATTTACCCAACTGGATTAAAGTCTGCATTGGTCCCTGTTTCTCATCGCCAGGCTTAGACTCTGCTGTGAAGTCAGTCGATTACAACTCACGGTGACCATCCCATGTGTCACAGAGAAGTGCTCCACAGGGTTGTCTTGCTGTCAGCTTAACGGAAGCAGACCAGATCTTTCTTCCAGGGCACTGAAGGGTGGGTTCGAACAAGAATTCTTTAGGTTAGTTGTTGTTAGGTACCATCAAGTCACTTCTGACTCCGAGCATTCCTAGTCCAAGCAAGGCTGTGTCATCATTACCATCCTCGGTTCTGATCCTGCTCCCATGTTCTCCCTAAGATTCTGAAGGTGAAGTTTATTTTTCCTATTTCCTGGTAAATACTGAATTTCTTAGATTGCATTTTTAAAGGGTAGATAGTCCCACAATAAAGTCAATGTCTGCTGTTCTCTGACTCTGGTATTTTAGCATAAGTAAACAGAAACTTAGATGTCTGCATAGTGTGGAAATCGTCTTAGTCATCTTTGATCAGTGACTCTGTTATACATGTTTTATTTTCTACTAATGCGAAATTTCAGTGACTAAATATTCGGAAGTAGCTCGTCACTCCTTCTTCCTAGTCTGTCTTCGTCTGGAATCTCATCTGAAACATGTCCACCATGGGTGACCCTGCTGGTATTTAAAATACCAGTGGCCTAGCTTTCAGAATCACAGCAACTCACAAGCCACCACAGTGCGACAAACTAATGATGGTCTCAAGCGTAGCAACAGTAGTGAGGTTGGCCCAGGATCAGGCAGTGTTTCGTTCTGCTGTGCATAAGGTTGCTATGACTCGGTACCAACAAAATGGCACCTAACAACAACAAATGCCAAATTTGCATTAAATGTATAAATTTCTGCAGTAACCAAAAAGCCTGTACTTTGAATTAATAAACTCATGTTTTTTCGCCCCTTTTAACTAATTTATTTCTTTCCAAAATGTGTTGTCTAAGTGCTCCTAAGCCTGTAGTGGAATCACAGTTGGTTTTCTGAAGCATTCAGGGTGAATGGACTTTTGTTCAGTCAGGTTCTGAGAGGTGCAGCTAGACTACAGAATGAAGTTAATGAGAGGTTTGTATCAGGCAGCACTGCTGGAAGACACAAGTGGGTATTCCTAGAGGCCACTTCTCTCAATCAGCCACTCTCCCTCTGTCTCTAAACCCTCACTGCCTTCCCATCCTGGAACTGATGGAGTAGAAGCTATGTTGTCTCTGTTGTTGTTGTTGTTAGGTGCCATCGAGTTGGTACTGACTTATAACGACCTTATTCACAGAGAACGAAACACTACCCGATCCTGGGCCAACCTCACTACTGTTGCCACGCTTCAATGGATGTTTACGGCTGTTTCTCTTCATTTGAGTTGTGTCTCATCAGCAAATGAAGGACCTGCAGGCTTTTCTACCACCGGCTTTACTCCATTCGCATCATCACAGTGAACTTTACTTTGAGGAAGCAGCTCTTCCCCAGTTGCTTTTTGAGTGCCTTCCAACCTGAGGGGCTCATTTTCTGGCACTATATCTGACAGTTTTTCCTCTGCTATTCATAAGGTTTTCAGTGACCAAATATTCGGAATTAGTTTGTCACTCCTTCTTCCTAGTCTGTCTTCGTCTGGAAGCTCATCTGAAACCTGTCCACCATGGGTGACCCTGCTGATATTTAAAATACTGGCGGTACAGCTTTCAGAATCACAGCAACTCACAAGCCACCACAGTATGACAAACTGACAGACGAGTGGTGGGTGTTGTCTCTATACTATATTAATGTATCTTCTCCTCCTAAGGACTATGAACAGAATTATTTCTCTTTCCATTGTAAATGCTACATGCCACCTACAGGTTTCATTAAATCCAGACTCAATGTCTTGATACAAACATTGAGTTGTTGTTGTTGTTGTTGTTAAGTACTGTTGAGTTGTTTCCAACCCATAGCGACCCTGTATAGGGTTTCCAAGGAGCAGCTGGTGAGCATGAACCACCAATCTTGCAGTTCAAACAACTTTACGGTCTGTCGCATTATCCCACAGCGCCACACCAGGACTCCCAAACATTGA